ATTGGTTAAATAGTTTCATCACTCACATTGAGTGAGTGATGAAACTATTTGTTTGCACTTGCATCACCTAGGAAAAACCTGGAAGCTGAGCAAATGGATTCGACATGAACTGAGTGCTGATAACAAGCTCCAGAGGCTTATGATCTGCTCGTCACTGCTTTCACAACACAGTAATGAGATATTTTTGGACCACTAGTTAACATGTGACAAAAAATAAGTTACATATGACAATACCAAACATTCCTATCATTGGTAATTGTCTGATGCTTCTCTACCACATACACCAAAGCATAACATCCATCAAAAGACAACTTTGTTGTGTCTGGTGGACTACAACTGGAATGTTCATTACGATCTTCTCCCCTTGGCCAAATAATCACTACAGATGTATACTTGGTACAACTGCAATGAGTTCAGAATGAGTGCTACAAAAACAGCTTACACTTTTGATCACAAAAATGTGTTCCTTCAGGACAATACACACCCTCACAAAGTGCAAGTGATCTGGGACAAGCTCAATAGCCTTGATTGGGAAATTCTATCCCACTCTCCATATTACCTTTTTTGGCACTAGACAATTATGTGCAACTGAAAGTTAGAAACTGAGCAGAGCTAGAAAAAGAGATGAAGGATTTCTTTGCTTCTAAAGATCATGACTTTTTTTGGAGTGGTATTTACAAACTTGTATATCATTGGGAAGAGATGTAGATTGTGATGATGCTTACTTTACTGAATAAAATATTTTCATTCACTTTTTAGGTACATTTTCATTTTAATCTCAAAAACCATCTGATAAGCATTTTAAAAAATCTTCCTTGATGTTTAATATTCTCAAGGAAGATTTTTTATGGGTCAGAAGTTGGAATAAAAACAGATGAGTAGAAACATCAAAAACTTAGATAGGTGGATGATATAACACCACTCATAAAAAAAATTAGAACATTTAATGATGAATTTTAAAAATAAAAAAAAGTGAAAAGCTGGACTGCAGCTCAACATCAAGAAAACAAAATACAATAATGAAGAAACTGAATCAGTGTAACATTTCATTTATTTTAGAGACAAAAATCAAATAAAAGTTCTTAGACTACAATAACCACTTGAAGCAAAAACCTACGTGGCTAAAGTTTATCTGTTTTTTTGACATGTCACACAGTACCTATGAACTTCCAGAATAACTGGAGGAAATAGCTCACAAAAACTTACATCTTTATAAATTCAGCAACCTTTTGTACTTGCATTTTTTTAAATTTGTATTTATGTTCTTTTATTTTTCTGTTCCTCTATATTCTGTAACTGAGAAAGATCAGTGAAACTGCTTTTATTTTTATTAAATTCATTGCTGGATTTATACAGGTGTTTTTTGTGAACATGTCACACTGTCAAATTCATTAGAAAAAGCTATAATGGTCAATGGAAAGAGGAAAAGAGTGGCAAAAAATTGCATTGGTATAATAAACCATCAAATCCAATATTGACATAAACACAAAGAACTAAAAACACTAAAAACTCAAAAAGGATTCCAAACGTTGACTAAGTCTGAATGGATGAAGAATAAAGAAAAGAAAAAAGAGCAAAGCAGAACATAGAAGTTAGGTTTAACTGATAAACACACAGTGTGTACCAAAGCACTTTTAGATATTTAAATTATTATTTGTTAATTATATGTTAATTAATTACATATATATTTATATTTTTAATGAAATTTTTAATGTTTAAACCAAATATCAGTTCAATTGCTTACATTTTTTTAATCATAACAAAAAATGAAATAATTAAAATATTTTTAACCTTTAATTGTTTATGATCTAATATGAACTAAAAACAATGTAGCAAATTAAAATTATTTTATTGATTTTTAAATGCTTAATATTTATGCAAGTTTATTAATTTTATTTTGTTTTTGTTGTTTTTTTAATGTACAGTAGGCCCTTTATTTGATGAACTAATGGAAAGAGCTGTCTACGATTGCCAAATTCCCATTAAATCAAATGTATTTTAAAAAGAAATATATACAGGGTGTCCCAGAAGTCTTTCCCTGATTACAAACATGCAGAAAACAGAAAATATGACACATAGACACATGTCTTTTATCTTGAATTGCAGGTAACATATTCAAGTTTTTGTGTACATACATACTCACTGTTACTTTGTTTGTTACAGAACAATACCTATCACAGCCAATATCTATCTTGATATGTTGCAATTATTTGTTGTGCCACAGATTCAGGACATTCCGGACTTAATTTTCTAACAAGATGGTGCACCACCTCATTGGGTTAGATGTTTGTGCCTATTTGGATACAGCATTTCTGGAAAGATGGATCATGTGTGGTGGTCCCATCAACTGGCCTCCACGACCACTGGACATAACACCACTGTATGTCTTCCTTTGAGGTTATGTCAAGGACCAGGTTTACCAAGCACCAGTGAATGGCATTACAGCATTATGGCGCAGAATTACTGACATCATAACATCCATCTCTCATGATATGTTGACCAACACATAGCTGGAATTGGAATATCGCCTGGATATCCTTCGAGCAACAAAAAAAGCACATATCGAAATTTATTAATGAGTATGTATGTACACACAAAAACTTGAATATGTTACCTGCAATTCAAGATAAAAGATATGTGTCATATTTTCTGCCTTCTGCATGTTTGTAATCAGGGAAAGACTTCTGGGACACCCTGTATATTAATTAACAACAAACATATTGTTACTTTGGAATAAAACCAGCATAACTCAAAAAAGTGCGATTTTTCGATTGTCATAATCAAAACAAAAATGTAGTAAATTTTTATGTGGAAGAGGGTCACAAAGTAACTTGTGTATTCGGCCACTAGGGAGCAGTTATGTCAGTGTTGAATTATCAAAACCTGCTCTAGCCGTTGGGGGAACAGTGTCACATTGTCCATAGTTCGGCAAAGTTTGAACAGTTAACTGGCATAACAGAGGCTAAAAAGGCCAGACTGTTAATTTATTTTTCTTCTTATATTTAGATTAAAAGAAAAAACTATGAAAAAGTTACCTCTAAGAATGCACTTTAAACAACATAAAAGATATTGCTGATGTTATTTTATGGAGATAAGTGATATTCAGTTAAACTTTGGTTAAATCTTTGCATTCTTCCAAAGTAGCAATATAGACTATTGTTTGAGATGTTTGAGAATGTTATAATGTACAGTACATTGAGTAATTTATATTCATTGACCAATCCTTAAGCATGCTCTATTTGTGAATAAATAATAATAAATTAAAATTTTTCCCAATTCTAAAGTTTTTGTCTGTTAAATGGGGATCCACTGAATCAAGAGACTACTGTACTTTTTATTCTGCATATAATACTTATTTAAATTTATAATTTTTCAACTTATTAATAAAGATCATCACAGAAAGCCAATTACAATTATTTTTTATAACATCCATTTTACCTAAAGCTTAAAATTAACAGTGCATTAATCCTACATTACTAAGATTAACATAATTATAAACTTTCAAACCATTAAGAAATACTTTTCATTCATTATTAACTGCATTTTGTTTTTATATTGTTTTATATATAATGATTAATTTATAACTGCAGTATAATGTTATAAGTAAAAGTATATATAACAATAATTATCTTTTATCTAAAAATGCTTTTTAGATAAAAACTAATTATTGGTAATAAAACTTTCAATTAAAGTGAGTTATTTATTAATCTGCGTTTTATTTTTATAGAATAAACAATATATGATTCGTTTACTTATAAAAAAATAGTATGATCTGCATTGAGAAATTTACAGCAGCATCTGTAAATCATATTAACATTTATTATTGATTAATATGCCCGTATCATGCAGCGGGAAAAAAGATTGTCACAAGCAGATCAAAAGTTTGTTGGAAGAGTAGACAATTACTTTCAAAAGGTATTTAAACAAATATTAAATTATTACTTGCCGAAATAAAAATTATAAACAATTATTAATAGACAAATAAATAAGGAAAGAGATGTCATATGTCTTGAAAGAAATATGACGACAGATAGCAGTACTAAGATTATACGTAAATGTTTGATAAATCACAAATCTTTAAAGCAAACAAAGAATAACTCAAGAAATTAAATACATTGGTCAAATTGATTCTAAACATAGCTTTGTAAAAAAATAAATCAAAATTTAGTAAATAAAAAATAATAAAAAACATTTAAATTATAAACTGGCTATTGAATATAATTAAAATCTGATCACTTATAACAGAGTGACATTAAATATTTTTTTTTAATAAACAAAAAATGCTTTTAATCAGAACCAACTTTAAGATATATATATATATGGGGCTAAAACCTTTACTCAAAAAGACAGAAGTCAAATAATAAAATAACTTAATTAACTATCTTTTAAATATCCTAATCTACATTAAAAAATTCATCGAATTCTGTCAGTGCAATCCAATTATCCACTAGCATCCTGCCTTTATTTAACAACTCATCGATTCCGTAAAATTCCATTTACAAAGCTAAACCTTCCCATTACACCAAGAAGTAAACAAAAATTTTAAAAAATCCGATAAATAACCATAAATAATAAAATAAAACTCGATATTCCCAAAGCCACAATGACCTAATGGCGACTTCCCATACAAGGAAGAAACCATCAACTTACGTCATCGCGGACACTTGTTCTCGGCAAGTATTCAAAGGCGAGAAACATCATCCTAACGAGAGAAAAAAAACCACGCATTATTCCAGTCTTTTTAACTGTACATTCGTTAAACCTACCATTACATTCACGTCGACGTAAAATTAATCAATTACAAAAACACGTGGATTGTGTTAACAAGTCCCGCGAATCGTCTCGTGCATTACAGTATTATTGAAATTGTCGGTCGGTGACCTTGGCGCGCCATTACGAACAACCTACTTTAGCAACAGGTAATACCGAGTGGAATATCTCATCACAGGACTAAATTAAATCCATCCCGTTACCTTATAAACGATTATTACGAATCTCACCTCACAATTTAACAGGATATCGACATATAAATGGCGATTAACCACAACAGATCATTAGAGCAAGCGTACTCCAATCTAGCGACAGCCCAATACAACTTCCTTCGGATCCCTTGCTCTGAGGGGAAGTAGAATTTCAGGTGCATACCTCTGATTGGTTAAAAGCATCGATATCTTATAAAAACTACCAATAAACTCTTCTAACTAAATTACACTTATAATTTGACTATGATTAAAACAATGGTTTTACTAATAATTTCAAATGTACAGAATAATATATTTTAAATCTACAAAATATATATGTGTATTTTATTTTTATTATTATTATTCTAGTGATTTGTAGAGAACTCTTCGATTAATCTATATATAATTAATAGAATTTAATAAATATTTAAGAAAGATTCCGGGTTTATAATTATTATTTATCGATGGTTTTCTTCATTTTTAGAGTTAAATAAGTAAATATCTGTGTTGTATCTAGATCATCCACCCTATTCGGAAGCGTTTTTTCCTTAGATAAGTACATCCTCGCTCCAAATTCCAAAGGGCAACAAGCGTGTTTAAAAAAAAAAAAAAAAAAACTACGTTAATGGGAATTACGAGTCGTTAGAGACTGTTTTACTTGTTTAAATCGTTACAGCTTCGTGGGGCCTGGAAAAATTTGAATTCGGGGTGCCATTTTTCTTCCGGGGAATATTTTCTTATAAAAGATCGCTTTGGGCAACCCGTTGGCGGGTACTCTGGAAAATTTCCCTTTTTTTTTGCCCATAGATGTTATATTTTTTAGCAATTCGCCAATTGCTAAATAATCGTGCATTAAATTATATTAGTGACGCGTTATAGTTTCGTGGGGCCCGGACGAATTTGAATTAGGGGGGCCTCGCGTACACTGTTAACTTCGGAACTTTTCTTCCGGGGAATGTTTTGCAGAAAATATTTTTTTATAAAAGATTGGTTTGGGATCCAGATTGATGGGGGCCACACGTAATTGCCCTTTTTGCCCATAGGATAAAGCGCAACTGAAACGAGTTTANTAAAATATACGTATTATTATACTCTGTAACACTAAACTAGAGCCTTCCGGTGCACCATTTGAGCGAAAAAAAACTGTTAAGGAAAAATTTTCTGTTAGCGAACCCTTTGTTAAATATTTCGAATATCACCACTGGTCACATCGGTTATCAATATCGAACCAAATAAATAACATCCTATTCCGTATAAATTTTTCTTTATAATATCTTAGATATAAATATATATATATATATAAGTGGATGTGCGTTGATATGAACTAAGTTATAATTATAGAAAAGACACTCCTCTATAACGTTGTACTAACGTACGACTCTGAAACAAGTACAGTAGCAGAGTGAGTACTGAAATAGAAGGCATTTGCATGATGAAAAGCGAAAGGATACAAAGAAACAATGTATTTATTTTAAAAAAATTATTATTACTTATTATAAGAATTAGAGAATTAATAAAGAAGTAAAAGAAATAAAAGAAATAAATAAAGAAATAAATAAAAGAAATAAAGAAGAGAGAAGAGAATTATAATGATAAATATTAAGTGATTGAGTTAATTTTATAAAGTACGGTACATACCTTAATTTTTTCGACCGGATGTGTTGACCAGCGGTAAGCAAGTGACTCAAATCTGTTTGTCAGTAAGGTGATGTTCACTCTTATAGGTGTGTCTATTGTCTTAGAGCACCAATAACGGCTAAGAATATCTAACATCTTCTACCAAAAGACAATAGATAATAAAGGAAATAATTCATATATTTTGAGATTTTTTAAAAATAATTTAAATAAATAATGTTACTTTTAGAATATTTTTAGATCATTTTATTCTTAATAAAGTAATTTATCATTTAGACTTTACACCAAGACATTATTATTATTATTATTATTTTATTTATGTCGTCGCTAAATGTAGTAGAGTATGGATAATTGGATGATTTGATAAAGTTAAATATCAATTTTCAAAGGTTTTTATAATATATTTCTAACAAAAGCTTAATTTCCAACACCACTTATTCGATGAGTCTATTTTTGGTAGGGGAAGGAACTACAGTATATCTATTGGTTTATAAGGTCGTTAGAGGGTTAAACTGATATCAATCGCTACTGTTTAACATAAATATCATCCTACAATCTTTATTTATTTCTTTTTAATATAAGAGTAATTAATATTGTCCATCTAGAGACGGTATTTAACTTGTCTGTACGCAATGTAGTTTACGAAGTATTGTTTATGAACACTATTTTGTAAAGTTAAATTGAAAGGTTGATGGCATAAAAGTAGAAATTAAAATAATAATAATATACTTTTCTAATTGGAAAATATTATTTATTTATTTATATTTATTTACTAATTAAGATTAAAATTTGAAAATTTTTCTTATCTTTTTATATTTAAAGGAATTCTCTATTCAGCTGTGAATAATTAAAGCTGTCAACAAGGTAGAGAAGAAAATAAACTGAAATTGCCTAAGGTAATACGCAAGATCATTTCTATATTTCCATGAAAACTAGATTAACTAGTTTTCACAGCAAATTAGGGAATCATTTTTATTGATAAATCATTAATAATTATAATTATACCTTATACTATTTTAAATGAAGTGGTTAAAAATTGACTTACATTATATATAATTTTTTATATTTAAGATATACTTTATAATAGGAACACATGTATAATTTATTAAGTAATTAATATGAGAAACAATTATGAATCATAATTTATAGCTTTTATTTTCTATTAAAACTTGAAATTTCAGAAAGAAAAATAGAAACTAATCAATCAAATTTTATATTATTTTAGTTACAATGTTATTGTTTTTATTAATTATAAAATCAGAAGAAATTCATTTTTAAATTTAATAGGATCAAAGGCAAATTTAGACTTTTTCTTTAGTAGAAAATTTAAGTGATTTTAGATCCTCGTCCTTCTGCTTAATCAGTTAATATCAGAATTGTTGTCATGTTCTAGATTTTGATTAAATTAATGAAAATTAAGGAAATTTAGCCTCTTTCTGTATTAATATAATCGAAAATTAAGCAATGATGGAACATATACAAATGTAACAAATAAGAAAGAATTATATTCTAAGCGCCTGTGCTTTTGTTTTCCCTCAAGCCTTTCCTACTATACAGTAGAACAAGTAATCATTTTAAAAGATTTTTTCCATTAATTGAGTTTTATTTTAAAAAAGCATATTATTTTAAATTAAAATGAATATCAAACATATAAAAATTAAAATTAATTGTATTTTATTAATTTAAATTTAGTTTTAATTGTTATTATTATTATTATTATTCTAAAGCTATTTTAAAATTTATTTGTAAACTAACAAAAATTTATCATCTTTATAACAATTTTTCTTATTTTTATGCGAATATATTCATTAAAAATAAATAAAACTAAATAAATCTGTAATAGAATGTTATAATAAAATGCTTCCAGTATCTATAAAGGGCCTGAGAGTGACTCTATTGATGGGCTCTAATCAGTCGTCAATATTAGTATTCCCCAGTGGCACATTATAGCTTTTTGGGGCCCCATGTTGGTGGGAGCACTAGGCAATTGCGTTTTTTGCCCGTAGGCACTAATGTTCACCCCCCAAAAGCCTTAAAATTATATACCAGTATATAATATCAGGCTGTATGGGAGAGTCAGGCTATTAGGTCCTTTTATCTGTGTTTTTACACACAATTATAAAAATGCAATTTCTTCAGTTTTTTATCATTACTTAGGTTCAAACAAGTACAGTAGCAGAGTGAGTACTGAAATAGAAGGCATTTGCATGATGAAAAGCGAAAGGATACAAAGAAACAATGTATTTATTTTTAAAAAATTAAAAAGTGAGGTTTACTTTTAAATCCATCCCCCCAAGTGCCAAAAAATGACCTAAAATAAGTTAAAAACCACTGTGCGATGGATTTATTATGGTTAAAAGCAACCACAAGTTCTGGATGTTAACTAATAACGAGGTTATGATAAGAAAATAAAACTTTCTTTTTCATTATGACTTATTTATCTTCAATTATCTTATATAAGTAGATAATAAAATTATTCACCACATACAGAAATATAACTTGATTACTTTTCAACAACATTTAATCATTCATGAAAATCTGTTGCAGTGCTCAAGATGTCAACACTTTCAAACAACTAATTTACTAAAACTAATTACTTTGTCAGAAACCTTTATTAATAAATCAAGGATCAAGAATGTTGCAGAGTTATTTATTTTTACAAGAACTATTACTGTGATATTTCGAGTTGCATTTTATGTTCTTTGAGTGAAATTTGCATTTTTTATCAATACAGTATCTTTTACAGTGAGACATTATAAACCCTTGCTTACTTCCAGATGTTAACATGGATGCTGAGCAAAGTGTTAATGAAGTTGAGGGTATGTCCTGAATATTAATATAGTTACTCTCAGAAATTGTAAATTCATTACAAGCATAAAGTCGATCAAGAAGACTTTCCTTGTTTCCTAACAGATAGAGACCTGATGGATTAATGCTCATAATAACAGCTAAAACATTTCTGGGAGCTGCACATCCCCTATCAACATCAGGCACCCTAACTAAAACATTTAAACCAATTTCAATCTGTCCATCATATTGTGGTTGCATCAGCTAACGTTCAGAACATGCTATGGCTTTTCTTAATCACCACAAATATCACAAAAGCCACAGTGCAAATTTCACTTTGTGGTCTTTTTGAGTTAGTCACAATGCATGTGGCTGTTTTTACAAGTGCCACAACATGAAATTCGCATTGTGGATGGTTTAAAGAGACCACAACGCATTGTGGACTTTTTTTTTGCTCAATTAGCATTATCATTCTTTGAGCCTAACATATGTGTGTACACTGTTTTTTTTTCAAGCTCTGATGGTTCATATATATATATATATATATATATATGAACCATCAGAGCTTGAAAAAAAAACAGTGTACACACATATGTTAGGCTCAAAGAATGATAATGCTAATTGAGCAAAAAAAAAGTCCACAATGCGTTGTGGTCTCTTTAAACCATCCACAATGCGAATTTCATGTTGTGGCACTTGTAAAAACAGCCACATGCATTGTGACTAACTCAAAAAGACCACAAAGTGAAAT